CGCCTTCCTAGGGAGGTGTTCCGGGCATGTCCCACCGGGAGGAGGCCCCGGGGAAGACCCAGGACACGCTGGAGGGACTATGTCTCTTAGCTGGCCTGGGAACACCTCAGCATTCCCCCGGAGGAGCTGGAGGAAGTGTCTGGAGAGAGGGAAGTCTGGGCATCTTTGCTTAGACTGCTGCCCCCGCGACCCGGTCCTGGATAAGCGGAAGAAAATGGATGGATGGATATTTATGTTTTAACTCCAACTTCCTCCCACAGTCCAAAGACATTCAGGTTAGGGTGACTGGTGACTCTAAATCGCCCCTAGGGGTGAGTGTGGTGTTTGTCTACATGTCAGCCCTGTGAGGGACTGGTGACCTGTCCAGGGTGGACAGCTGGGATTGGCTCCAGTCCCCCCACGACCCTCGTTAGGATGAGTCGTATAGGTAACAGATGGATGGATATTTACATTTTAATTTTATGTCACATTATTATAACTGTCAATAACAAAATCACATTTTAACAGCAAAATACATCAAGTAAAATAACTTGTGAAATGTGATTTGTTGCTCGGTCTTCTTTCATTCAAACACCCAAAAGCAGCAGAAGCTCTGCTGTTTTCTGCTGCTTGAACTGCCCTGCTGCAGCATGTGGCAGCAGAGCCTGACGTGTTTCTAGCGATCTAACATCTGTGTTTATATTGATCCAGACAGCAGCAGAACTCACCAGATCCTTGGCATTGAGGGACACCTCGTCCCACCATGGAGACACAAACTCGTAGTCACAGTTGAGGATGCGACTGTACATGTACTGGTCCCCCCTGGGGTCGAAGAACGGCTCGAACCCACAGAGTCTGGAGAGCAGGATGCAGGTCAGCTCAGTGTTAATGCAGTGGTTGCTAATCTTCTAGAGGACCAGTGGTAGTGCCAACAAAGACACCATCATCCAACACAGAGTAAACCGAGAGAACAGCAGCAGCCACACAGTCTGAAAGATGGTCTGTCAATAGTAGAGCTAAAATGCATTTTATATGTTTGTTAAAGGTAGGAAAACTGGCTAATTCTGCGAGGAAGCTTATCCTGTTCAGAGAATGCTGTGTTTGGTGGAGCAGTCGGACTTTGAGATGGTCTGACAGACAGATTTCTCTGACACCACTATTTGAAGGGCTGGTGCTCTGTAGAAGCGCTCTGAGAAACGGTGGGTCAAAGGAATCTGATGAATCTATAACATTCTCCTGATGCAAGGACACAGAGGGAACAGCTTCCAGGAGCCGCGGGATCCTTTAATGCTGTCAACATGCTGAGACCGTGAGAGACAGTGATCAGCTCTAATTCCCAATAATCTGATCCGAGTTTGTGAAAGAGCAGCCACTCAGAAAACTCACAACACAAAAATAAACACAACAACACAAACTGGTAGTTTCTGACTAGAAGCACAGGATCCGGCAGTGTGTTGCTATGGGCTGGTGGAGACAGTAAACAATAAACACACCACTTACTGAGATGAACAGGAAGCACTGTTTCACATTATGTCATCACTTCTAATGGCTGTTATGAGACAGATGGGAGAAACGAAATGTCGATGTAAATCCATAGTGACGGGAACGAGCCGATGCTGAATCAGTCCATCATGTGTGTGTGTCTGTGTGCGCGTGTGTGTGTGCGGCCTGGCAGCGAGGTGTTAATGGACTCACAGGATGTACAGGATGACGCCCACCGACCACATGTCCACCTCAGGGCCGTAGGCATTTCCCCGCAGGATCTCTGGAGCTGCAGACAGAGGAGCCAGATGGCTGAGCGAAGCTCACAGTCATGTGAAATCCCACAGAGCGGAGGCCACAGTGAATGCATCATGGCCTGCTGCTGCAGCACAGGCCGTTAAGCACGTCTACTACTACTACTACACCATGTACTACTACTACACAGTACACTAACTGCCACGACTCTGTCTTCTACTACTACTACATCGTGTAGCATACTACTCCTTCTACACAGTATACTAATGACACTGTCACTTATACAGTACCCTTTACTAATGATACTGCACCACTACTACTACACCATCTACAGCTGGTACTACACCACCTAATATTGCTACTGGACCATTTATTACACCTCCTAATCCTCTAATACTGCTCATACACTATCTACTATTAGGACATCAGCTAATGCTGTTACTACACCATCATTCCTACTACTGCTACATTCCTTTGTCTGTCTGCATTGTTTACTGCCTGTTTATACTGCTATATTTTGCATTGTTTGCACTGGTTGTTGCTTGTTAATACTGCTTATTTTGTTATATTACACAGCCTTATGCTGGTTTACTGTTTACTTGCCCCTTGCATGGGGATATGTACATACACATTGAGAGCCTATGTACCAGAGTCAAATTCCCCGTGTGTCCGACACACTTGGCCATTAAAGCTAATTCTGATTCTGATCAAGTACCGCTACTACACCGTTTACTATGGCTATTAAACTACCTTATAGTGCAACTACATCCAATGCAACAAACAATACTGGTATTATACCGGTTTAGTATTTCTGCTCCTAATATTAATACCATCTGCTACACCTACTACATCCTGTTCGTACACCCGGTAGGTGCTACAATCCTGAATACTTACCGCAGTACCCTGGAGTACCACAGACAGTCTTCATGGTCACCTGATCGTCGATGATTTTGGAAAGACCAAAGTCGGCTGAAAGAGACGAGACATCTCCTTGTTAGAACTGAAGTGATGAACAAACGGTTTTCACTTTGACTCTGGAGGTTTGCAGTTAAAATCAGTTTGGGTTGTTTCTGTTCGCAGCCCAGCGGGTGTGTGCAGCAGTGCAGGGTGGAGGTGTTGGTGTGTGAGGGAACCAGGGTGGAGGCTGGATGTAAGTTTCTGTCCAACCATCTGGAGGCTGACACACACAGAACCCGAGTCTCAGATATTCATCTCACACTGTTTCTCACTGTGAACAGTCTGAGCTGTTGCTTTCAGGTGCTGTCAGAAATGACACTATCACGAGTTCCAGCAAGGGAAAGTAGGTAGGTACCTTTACTCATGTACTGTAAAATTTTACTTGGAACACTGTACTTAAACATTTCCATCTCATACTACTTTACACTTCTGCTTTACTACATTTCAGGGAGAAATATTGTACTTTTCACTGCAGTACATTTATTTTTACAGCTTAAGTTAATAGTTTCTTTGCAGGTTTTTGCAGTACAGCTGAAATAATTAATCTATTTCCACATCCCAGCTGAAGTTTCCCAGACCTGGTGTGTCCATAGCAGTGTGAACAGACCAGGTGTCCTCAGACCAGATCTGGGCCACCTGTGTATGTGCTCCTAGATCCGATTCCTCTCTGACCTCTGACTGTGCGAGCGCTGTCAGAACGGTGACTGGTGTTCATGCCGGAGATGGATACATGGCACTGACACACATGGACGGGAAGCAGCGACACAAAGATCTGAGCGTTAAGGCCTGATGTGGATGCAGCCTTGGTTGATTATTTGAACAGTGAAATGCCAAATAATTAATTGGCAACTATTTTGTTTGTTGAAGTAATTTTTCATGTAAAAATATTTCTTTGGCGATTTAAAACTAAATAACCAACACTTTTTGTTTGAAAGGTTTGACAAATACAGGGCAGTTTTAAGGAGGTGGTCGGTGGTGAATGTTTTTCCTCAGACAGAGTGAGCACTCTTCTGTATCCTGATCACAGTCTAAGGATCAATGATAAAAAATAAACTGAAAAAAACTTCTCTCATCCAAGAGGCTTCATCAATTCTGCCTCTTGGATGAGAGGTGAAACGTCTTCAACCTAAAAATCTAGTCCAGTTGATTTTTTTCAGCTTACTATGACCTGGATGACTGAGAATCTGCACGGACATAAAAAATAAACAAATATTAAATAATAGATAATAACAACATCAGACTTAGAAGGAGTAAAGCAGGTGGTGTGTTACCTATCTTGAGCGGAGCGTCGAATGACAAGTCAGCATACAGCAGGTTCTCAGGTTTGAGGTCACGATGCACGACACCGTTCTCGTGTAAATACTGAAACACACAAACATCAAAATGTTAGACCAAGTTCAGAAACATGGTCTGGACAGCACCACCAGTCTGACGTCCTACTGCACGCTGCAGAAGTCATGGAGGAGGGCGGGAGTCTGTGGAGGACTTGGCAGGACAGATTGAAATGAACTCCAAATGCGAGGTGACAGATGGCCTCTTCCTACAGATCCCAGCATCTCCTGCTGCTCCCTGAACACTCACTTCCTGTTTTCAGATCAGCTGTGGCTCAGGATCTGAAGACAGCAGCATTGTGTGATATTTCACTGCTTTCACCAGTTTGTATTTACTGCAACTTTTTAAATATTCCCACACAGTGTGATGTGGTGCTGCTCTTATTTACCTCACAGTGCAGCTGGCTTCAGAGACTGACTCTGGCTCTGCATCTGCAGTACACAGTTGTTGACTGTAGCTCTGGACTATCTTAAGTGCAAGAAATTCTGAATAAATTACGACTTCTGTGAAACCAAACAATGTGGCTGACTGAACAAATGCATCAAAGTGCTTCATTCTGTCACTGGAAGAACGAAACTGGAGCAGTTTTCTATTTGTTGATCACTGGAACCAATCTGGGCATCAGACACAAACATTTACATGCTGCTTCACATGTGAAGTTTACATGTTAGAGCAAATGTACTTTGAAAAGTACAGGAAAGCCAGTGACAAAATATCAGCAACATAGTAGAATAACAAGCTTGTAAATGTGACATAAACACAATGGGTCCTGCAGCAACATGTCCATGATTGCATCTGACGACCAGTCTGGTTGGAAAAAGCTTCACATTTCCATGAGAACAGGTTCTGTTCTGCTGATAGAGACCAATCAGATGCATGGGTTGACCTGAACTGCTGTGTAACTGCAACTAATTTGGTGCCATATCAATACTTGTCTGAGGTCAGTGTGAACTAGCGCTTCTTAATCGGTGATCTATGAAGTAGTCTCAGAAAGTCATAGTGAGCAGGAGCAGTAACGGAAATTCATGATACATCTGTAATAACTCCTGCAGTAAATCACCATGAGTCGGGCATTAGCTAAACATCACTTAAATCTACGATTTGTACCTGTATTAAACATGTTTTGTTAAGCTGTTGAATTCTTCAGAAGTGCAAGGGAAAGTTGTTCAGTCATCAGCATTAGGACTGATCTGACACTACAGGCCAATCTAAATGTGAAACCGCCCCCTGTGGTTAAGTGCAGACAATGACGCAGTTAAAACAGTGATTGCAAATCAAATCAGTGTCAGACTTATTCTTGCTGTTTATTTGCAGCTCTAATAAAAGACAGAAGACGTCAATGGTGTGACCTGCTGTCAGGTGTTCTGTCTCTGTGCTGAAGAGGACCCCCTGTGAACCAGCATCTCACCTCTGCAGGTCTTCAAATCACTGTTTTTTTATTCTGCAGCCTCCACATTGTTTCACACAGGTAAACCAGCACCTGTGTGAAACAGTGTGAACACAAACTGAACATAATCACCTACGTGAAGGAGGGCTTAATTTGTTTGACACAGGGGTTTCTAATAAACTGACCACTGAGTGTATAAGCACATAAACAGACCCGTGTTTCTCTGCAGTAAATGTAGGTCAGCTCTGGTCAGTGTGTGTGTGTGTGTGTGTGTGCTAATCCTCTGAGTTTAATCTGTTCAGCAGCTGGACAGAAGCTGCTGTTACATCAGAGACCTGTAGCTGCCGCACACCGCCACCGCCGCTGCCAACAACAGCTACAACTAACCAGTGTAACTACAGCAAATACACCAACTATAGCAACTACTGCAACATCTGCAACAGGGCAGTTCAACGAGCTACAGCAACCACTGCAGCTACACACGGCAGCTACTGCTCCAGTCTACATCAAATCCAACCTCGACTTTAACAAACACAGGAACGCTGGTGCCTTTGTTTCCTCAGAACCGTCTGGTCCCCGCCTCATTCATCAGGGTTACTGACAGATGATTTTCACTCACACTGACAATAATTACACGTTGTGATTATCACCGACCTCTTCTCTAATTAATTACAGTTTTCTGCTGCTGCTGCTGCATATCCAGCTGAGATGGGCCCAAATAACCTCCTTGTTTCTGTGAGCAGTGCAGCCTTGTGTAAGAATGTCCGTGAATGCCTCCTGGTTTTTAATCGTCACATGTTGACATTTAAATGTGATTTTGTGTTACTTTCACATTTAATTAAAACTGCAGAGTAACAGGAAGCTAGTGACTCATCAGCCGGAGGAGGCCAGACTCCTACACTAAAAAAATATAAAATCTCCTTTTGTAATTTGATGCTAATGATCCTTAAAGGAGCAGTTCATCATGTTGAGAAATCATTTTTATAGGTTAGATGTTTCAGTGACGCTAACTCCTCTAAGATACCAAGATTAACAGGCCCAAGAAGATAACTAGGTTCATAGGCACTAGAGGCTAACTCTAAATTACAGGGAGCTAGAAGCTGTAACAGGAACTAAAAACAAAACCTAAGCTAAAATAGTTTCATTTTACAATATCTGTAAAAATAATGACATTTGCATTAGTGTACATTTTGTGTTTGCTACTAGTTACTAGTACAAATATTAGCATATTAATGCAACTAACAGCAGCAGGGGTCTCACCATTATTCTGAGACTCTAAATTTGTTTTGTGATGGCAGAAAAAATAAATTCATAGCAAAAGTCTAAATCTTGAAGTGAAATATTTTCCCCAAGTTGAGTATTAACCATCAGGCAGCCAAAATGCTACAATTAGAAATAAGATGTTTGTGTTTAAACCTTGAAGCTTGAAGTTATCTAAAGTTAGCTAAAATCTGAACAAGATAAAACTGATAATTAAGACAAGTGACATTTCCTGGAATTAAGTCATGCAGCCTAGTCAACACCAGGTAATTGATCCATGCTTGAAACAAGTCAAACTAGACTTTTATGGGTTGGCAGCTCTGTGCTGGAGTCAGGACATTGACAGAAAGTCAGAGAAGCTCTTTTGTTTTGCGAGGCTGAACAGACACAGTAATCTAATGAGCAGAGGGTCTGGATGGAGTGATCAACACAGTGACCATCATCACCAGAGGCGTGGCTGCTGGTTGATCAGAAGCAGAAACTCAGACGGAGCTGCATTTTCCTGACACACAGAGCAGACAGTGAACGCAGCAGTCTTACCGCCACGGCCTCCAGGATCTGTTTGATGACATGAGCGGCATCTCTCTCACTGTAGTAACCTCGCTCCACGATCCTGGAAACAAAAAATCACAAAGCAAACACCAGCTGAAGTGAAACGAGAGCTTCCAGCTTCTGGTCCAGAAGTAAGAAAACCTCATTCATTTCTAACTTGGATAATAAAAAATCATCACCTTGGACGGATCCTCTCTCCACTGTACATCAGGTGACTCACCTGATGGGCTCAGATAAGCTTGGCAGCTTTTTGAAAAACTATCCAGCATTGCTGTTTAGTCATTACTTATGATGTGAACAGTCTTAAATGAACAGCATTTCCCATCAGCCCTAGATGTTCATAGGCTAAACATCACAGAGGAGAGTTCATGAGTGAATCACAGGGTTGAGTCTCAGTCTTTAAGTTATAAACACTTTTATCTCTTATATTTACTTTTATAGTCTGTTACAACCACTGTAACAATTTAAGTTGGGAAATGTTGCATTTGTTGTTTGGACGGTGCAGTTTTCATTCTCAGGTCAGAATGTGGTTATCTTAGCTTGGCATAAAGACTGCAAACAGGGAAACTGCTAGCCCGGTTCTGTTGTGATTTGGCACTATACAAATACAACTGAAACGAACTGTCAGAACGCCACCTGTAACATGAACATGCTGTATCTCGTGTTAAGTCAACATACATGTGAAAACAACAGTTAGCGGCTGCTCCTCTCAGGGCGCAAAGGTTTCCTGGAGTATCTGCCTGGAAATCTCAAGGTGACAGATTCCAGGAAACCAGTGCACCCAGGGACAAACAGCTCTGTGTTTACTCTGTCTCTTCGAACATGTCCACTGAAGAAATCAGAGACGACAGGCTGTGTGTAAATCCTGTCATTTTTCAGAGAAAAATGTTGTACTTTGTAGTCACTTCATTTATTTGATAACTTTAGTTGTTGGTTACTTTTCAGAAAGAGGTTAATAAAACAAAATACAGTATAATTAGATTTATTGATCCGTGGTGTAAAATTTACAAGCTACTCAGCAGTAATTCACATTATAAACAGATAATGAGTTTAAACTAGCCTACCTTTACCAGCTGCAACATTAAATGTGATGTACACAATAATGCATCGGTAATTATAGTTTAATAACACGATGTACATCAGTGTAAATGTGCCATTTTGCATAATCAGTACTTTTACTTTTGATACTTATATTTTCTGCTAATACTTTTGAGCTTTTACTGAAGTAACATGTTGAATGAAGGACTTTTACTTGTAACAGAGTATTTCTGCACTGTGGTAACTCTATCTTACTTAAGTAAACAATCTACTTTGTCCACGGCTGGGTGCACCAGGCTAAAGCTATGTCCTGCCAGGTGAATCAACACATCTCTGACCACTCTGTCTGTGTGTGTGTACAAGTGTTTGTGTAGACACATTTTAGTGGGAAACCACTGTTGTGAGGACATTTCTGCACTGTGAGGACATGTCGTCCTCTGCTCACCCCTTCACAGGGCTGTCTGAGGGTTCAGACTCAGTTTAGGGTTCAGGTTGGAGTCAGGTTTAGCTCACGGTAAGGCGATGTATTATGTCAGTGAGGTTCCTCACAGCTACAGTGTGCCTACCTGTCAAACAGCTCCCCTCCGGTCACCAGCTCCAGCACCAGAGTAATGTCAGTGTCCGTCTCAAAAATCTCCTTCAGCTGAATCTGATTCAGTCGGAAAAGAAGAAAGCACGAGATTAAAACTTAATTGGCATATTGTGAACATCAGAGGAACATCTGGAGCATCTGGCTGAGTCTACTACAGCCTGGTTTTGTATAACCGTGTATATAAAAAAAACACCCTGTGCAGCTGCTCTCTGTTCGGATGGAGTCCCAGTCCCAGTTCAGGTCTATTCCAAATGGACTTCCCAGATCAGATCAGTGATTTCCAAAGTGCAGAGCAGAGTGTGTGTGGACTTTTTAAAAGACAGCAGGGACACAGTGACATGTAAAACTAGTCTAACAAGACCCAGCAGGTCTAAAATATGTTTCTAATGCCCCTGATTCAGCTCATCTAGGACATGTGACAAAAGACAACCAGTCATAGAACAAAGGGCCTACGGTTTTTACAGTGTGTTATCAAAAAATCATCACTACATACATGGATAAATACTTGTTTATGCTGGCTTTAACCTGCTCAAGACAGAGCAGGTTATTGCTTTGAACACACCTGATGGTGTTCCTATTAGGAACCCCTGTCCCAGACTAAGTCAGCCTGACCCAGCAGTGCTGCAGTGAATCCTCCTCCATGAAGGTGTGGATATTCAGATTTTGTTCAGACTGTTTCACAGAGGTGTCCTTCAGCAGGGTGTGACATACAGTAATACTGTACAGGATAAAACTGCCAAATATTTGCATATATCACAATATCATAAATGTGTGAAAAGTCAGAAATAAAATAATCATAATCTACATTCCCATCTGAGGCCTTAATGCTCAGCTCTGCTATTTCAGTTGGACCTGATGACGACAGGCCGTATGTGCAGAGGCGGACACGTTAAAACGACCACATAAATTCTGATCTGACCATTCTGACGGTGCTCGCACAGTCAGAGGTCAGAGAGGAATCAGGTCTAGAAACACATAGGCAGGTGACCCAGATCTGGTCTGAGGACACCTGGTCTGGTCTGTTCACACTGCTGTGGACACACCAGGTCTGGGAAACTGCAGCTGGGATGTGGACGTGGCCTTAGGTTCAGAAATTTGAATCAGCATGTAAAACAGTGAAGTCATGAGAAGCACTTACGATGTTTGGGTGGGAAAGACGCAGCAGGACGCCAATTTCAGTACGAACAATTTTCTTGTCGATCTAAAACAGAAGAATAAAACATGAGACAACTGGCCAGCTGGGGGCACCTAGCCTAGCTTAGCACAAAGACTGGAAGCAGTAGGAGCTGTTAGCCTAGCTGCAGTGAGGGTCATGCTCTTGGCTGCTGAGACCCCACCATGACTTCTGACCTCACGATCACTGACCGTTTTCTTCAGGACTTTGATAGCGTAGGGTTTCTGTGTCTCCTTCTCTTCACAGCGATACACAACAGACGTGGCTCCTCTGGAAGAAAATACAAAACCATTGTCAAGATCTTCCCCAACAAGGAAAATGTTTTTACCATTCAGTACAACAGCATGAGGAAGAAGACGAGGCAAAGTTTCCTTTGCTTTGGTTCAGTAGAAAAGCACCATTATTGTGCACTGAAGTTAAAAAGTGCTTTTCTACTTGTGGTCTATGTTTGGGGGTTTGAGACAGAGAAATATCATCTATCCATTATCTACCCTGCTTATTCCCAAATAGGGTCACAGGGGGGCTGGAGCCAATCCCAGCTGACACTGGGCAAGAGGCGGGGTCCACCCTGGACAGGTCGCCGGTATATCACAGGGCCGACACGTAGACAAACAACCGTACACTCACTCCTACGGACTGTAGGAGGAAGCCGGAGTACCCGGAGAGAACCCACGCACGCAGGCACAGGGAGGACATGCCGACTGCGCTGCTGCTGTGAGGCAATAGCACTAACCACTGCACCACAATGTCGCCCCGCCCCAGACAACTATCAGTTCACTTCAGTTTATTTGTATAATCACCAATCCACAGCGACAATTGTCTCAGGGCACTTTACAAAGTCAGGTCTAGACCTTACACTGTTCTAAAGAAAGCCCAACAAATCCCTCTGGACCAGCACTTGGTGACAGTGGGGAGGAAAAAAATCACTGTTATGAAGGAGAAATGTCCCCATAATGACAGCCATACAGGATCACACGCCATACTGGCTGGTTTCCATGGCAACAGCTCACCTGGTAACAGAGCAGGTGGTTGCCATCTCTTCACTGTTTCTGATTTGTTTGTCTACTGAAACAACCACACAATACACTATACCACGAAGTGTAAACACAAACAAACAGCCTGACAACAGCTTCAGGTCAATTCCCCAGACTATGACTGGTACTGCTCCTGCTGCAGAGTACTGTGACGCCCTCTGAGGCCTGAGTACCTCCAGTGGCACTTGGAAGACGTTCACATCCAATGGCAGTACACACTTGTCAAAGAGCAGCTGAGGAGTTTGTGGACCAGCCTCTGTGTCCTTCACCTCCTTTATCGAGTCACTTCTGACATTCGCTGTGATTGGTTCATTCGCCAATTATAGCATAAAGAACAAAATTTGCTGGGAAGGACTGTGAACATGAGCCTAAAGTCACTGGTGTCAGCTTCAAAGGTCTGATCAGCTTGGACCACGGACCATATAGACAGATGGACAACCTGGTACTACTTCCTGTCGCTGTGTAAACGTGAAGCCATATGGGAAAAGCCACCTTACTTTTGTGATTCATTTTGTAACCAGATTCTGCACAGTAGTCATCAAATAACATATTAAAAACAAATGTTTCAGAAAAACAACCACCTGCCAAAAACTGTACTTAAGTACAGTGCTTGGGTTAAATCTACTGCCTGCTGTGCTGTGCTATGTTCAGACTTACTACCAGATGTTGTGCAGATGTGCATCCAATAACATCTGTTCTAACATAATTATTTCAGCCATGATTTAAGAAGAAGAACAAAGGGTTTGTCTCTTCAGGTTTCAGACTGACAGGGTGAATTTACCAACAGAATACTGACTGATTCCCCCAAATACTCAGATCCTTTACTTAAGTAAAGTAACGCAGTGTAAAATACTCTGTTACAAGTAAAGGTTCTACATTGAAAGTGCGATTTAAGTAAAAGTACAACAGTATCAGCATCCAGATCTACTTGAAGTACCAACAGTACCAGTACTCATCCTGCAGAACGGCCTGTGTCCCAGTAATGTCTCTGATACTGGATCATAGTGACTGATGCATTACTGTGTCCATCACTTTAATGCTGCAGCTGGTAAAGGTGGAGCTGATGGTAACTACCTTATATACTTATACTGTGAAGTACTTTACATCCTACTGGGTAGCTGGTGGATTTGCCACCGGGATCAGTAGAGTCTGATGGTTCTACTGGGTTTGGTTTGATTCATCTGATTCTGGAAAGGAAGTGAAGTTATCAGGTACATGTAGTGCAGTAAAAAGTACACGGTTGGTCTCTGACATGGAGTGAACTCACAGAAGAACAGATACCTGGGAGCTGTAATACACTTGCATTTTTACTTAAGTAAATTTTTGAACGCAGGACTTTTACTTGTAACAGAGTACTTTTACACTGTGATATTACTACTTTTCCTGAAGTAAATAATCTCAGTACTTCTTCCACCACTGCTCAGTCAGACCACAACAACATGTTCCCTGTTTGTTTGTTTGTTTGTTTGTTTGTTTGTTTGTTTGTTTAGATATGAGGAGGATCACGTGGGGCCCTCACTTTGGCCCAATGAGAGCCTCATGTGAACTCAGCAGTTTCTCCCTGTGCCCCCTTATAATGTGGTCCAGACCTGCCCAGCTCGGAGCTCAGGGTGTAAAACTCCTCCACCGTACCGTCCCGCCTCGACCCGTCCACCCAGAACTCCACCGGCTCCGAACCAGGCCGGGACGTCGGCATGATGACAGTCGTGCCCCTCCAAACTGGGACCAAGAGGACCAGGACCGAGTCCACGATGGCACCAGGGCCAGGGCCGATTTAGACCGGGTCAGATGTAACAGATCAGAACCAGAAGCACAGTAATCCAGATCAGATCTCAGATTTAAATCCAGCTCGGTAAAACCAAGATTAGAGGAATAGAAGGGGGATGATTCGTGATCCTGATGGGCTTTAATCCAGACCAGCAGGAGGATACGCCTGCTCCCTCAAACTCTCACTCGGGACCGAGAGAGAAAGACCAAATCAGAAAAAAATCCCTGGAGACGACGCGGCTTTTATTCCAGACCGCAGCAGCAGCCGGGATCCAGAAGCATCAGGTCCAGATGTGTCGCAGCGTCCATCGGGCCTAAACCCTCTCAGATATCGGATCAGTTCAGTCCATCACCTTCCTCCCGAGATTTAGTCGTATTTCCGTGTTTTAAAGAGAAAGATGGTCCGGAGCGCAGCAACCTCCCGGTGCGGCACCAGCCCGGAAACACCAGTACTGGATCCCGGCTGCGTTTCCAGCGGCAGCAGACAGCGAAGCCCGGTGCAGCTCAGTGCGGGGTCTCGGTGTGTGATGCTCCGCTTCCCGGGGAGGGCTGCTCCAGATGTCGTTGGATCTGCGGAGAGAGCTGCGGCTGTAATCTCACAGCCCCGCCCCTCTGCTACCAATTTGACCAATCACAACGCGGCACTGTAGCTAAGCCACGCTCCCATTCGACGGTGGGTCTGTTAGGTACTGTCAGCAACCTAAATACAGAAATAACCTAAATACATAAATGTACGTTTGCGTGACATGTGCGGGCTCTGATCCTGGGTGACTCAAGCCCGCAACTCCGGAAACACGCAACATTTTATTTCTTTATTTCCTCATCAAAAGACAGGAATATATATCAGGTGTTTTCCTGGTTTGATTATGTAGGATTTTAAAGGTCTTGCGTTAATGTTCACATGGTTAATGTGATTTGAGCTCGGTGTGACTTGTTTCAATAAGAGTCCTCATAAACCCAAGCAGAATAGAAATATAGCCAGTCTAGGTTGTTTTAATAAAAAGTTATTTTTTGTCAACCATTTTGTGAAGGTTCCTAATGAATATTGGTAAAATATCAGTAAAATCTCTGACATAAATTAGTAATAGGCTATATTAAAAATCTGTAAATTGTTAAAAAAACTCAATATATCAAAAAAGAAAATAATCTGCAAAATTTTAGAAAAATAGTAAAATGCATCATAAAATATATATTTTAATATATAACACATGTATTAACATAGGTAAGCCTAGATGCAAAATATTTGTTAAAAATCAGGGAAATATAAACCAATGTGAAGAATATTGGTATCTGACAAACAAAGTAGTGAAACATGTGAAAACTGTTTTGTATGATGCTTCTGTAGCCAGGCAGCAGTGAGCCTCTTTCACCAGGACAGACAGGTGGGGACGGATTTATTATGTCTTAGTGAGAACAGCTGTCCAGATGTGACTGTGCTCATCAGTTAAAACGCTTCAGGCTGTGGAGGAAGATAAACAGCTGCTGAACACCTGTATTAAAGCTGCGTGAGGGACAGGAGGAGAAAGCTCAAAGACCAGACTCTGTGATAGGACACTGCTGCCTAGATGTTCCACACAGACCAGAATCCAGATGTGAGCTAACACACAGGTGAAGGTAGGTTTATTATAACTACAACACAATATTTTCGATTGAGAAACTGAATGTTATATTGGCAGGAGGGATTGTTGGGTGCATATAGTGCTGAAACCAGAGGAGGTATTACATTTTTTCAATGTAAGAATGAAGTTTGGTCATTATATTGACTTTAATACAATGATTTACCAGTTCTACTAATATTCATTTTGGATCCACCCAATCCAAGCTGTACTAAAAAGAAAGAAAGAAACATTCCCTTCATGCCATCTTACATGTGAACAGACATTAAACCAAACTCCATTCAGATTTTATTGCTGATGTACGTTGCCTGCTGTTGTATAGTTGACATATCACGTGGTTCATTTTGAATTTAAGCCCTGTGTATGAAGTTACAGGTGCCTGGATTCACTGTGATTGGTTGGCAGTAACTACCTGCAGACCTTACCGAGGGAGAATTTGCCCTCCGCCTGTTTACATAAGCAGTACGTGAGGTGGACTTCCTGGTTGGGAGTCACTGTATGTCAACAAAACGGTAGGCGGATTTCTCATAACGAGACGTGTATCAGGAAATCCCGGTTCCGTAGTCCAGGCCTTGCGCTTTGTTTAGTGTTGGTAGATGTGAAATGACTTTCGGGAGAGTTCTCTCTGCGGTTCTTGTACCGATATGCTGGGTGTTCGTGGTCGTGGCGTCCGATGCGCCCAAAGCCACCGCCGGCAGCACCGCGGGCCTCAAACCCGCTGTGACGAACTCCAGTGGCGGGAACAACACACACAGCGGCGGTGAGAGCCACGGAAAAATATCCAACGGCTCCAACCTGGACAGGTCGCTGATCCAGAGGGCCCTGTACGTCCTCATCGCCATCACCACAGCCGGAGTCCTCTACTTCCTCATCCGAGCCGTGCGGTGAGAACTACTGTAAAACTGCTGCTGCCTATGGCCAGACGCTACCCACTCGCATATTGTGTCCAACATGGGTGAAATACCACACACCGTCTCCCATGCCGAACTAAAGTGTGCCTCCTAGAGCTTTACAAAAACACACAACGCTCATTTTACGAACTATGTGCCTCTGTGGAGAAGCTTTAAACCACTGTTTTAATGGAGTTTGGTTCAGTGCGTGTCATACTTGCACTGGTTTAGCATGGTATAAGCTGCTATTAAGGTGATGTAACTTTTTAGGGCAGTTCGTTTGAGGAAGTCCAGAGCTAAAGGAGAATATTAGTATAAGTGGGATATTGTGAAATAAATTCCAAATGAATATATATATATGGGTTGACGTCGCGCCGAGCTTCATTCGTAAATCCAACAGTTATACACTTTCTTTAGCATCAGCAGAAGTACAAGTGATTTGTGATCTTACCTAAATTGTAGGTGCCACTCTTCAATTCGGCATCTCATCCAGAAAGCAAAAATTATTTTGAAATGGTTCACCTACTGATATCCAGCCAAATGCCATTCATAAATGCAGAGATCGCATGGATGACAAAATGTAACTGCAGTACACTATCAAAATACAGTCTTAAACTATGCCTGCTTTATTTTCCTGCCATATTCTTTATATGGGAAAGTATTGTATAACAAAAAATAAATAAATAAAAAATCAGTGTGGGGCGCATACTTGCATACAAACTAATGGCAGCATGTAGGGCTTGTGACAGCTGGTGTCACAGTTTGAAAGACGGGGAGAAAAGTACACATTCATATAAGTGCTGCTGAATTCAATTAGCCCACCAAACTTTTTTGTCAGTTTATCATAAATTTAACATTTTATCAAAGAGCAGTTTATCAGATGATTTATATTATACTTATTATTATTATTTATTTTATATATTATATTTATATTCCCCTGAATGTGGAGCAACAGTCACACCAAACTCCATCCATAAATCTCACAATTGAACACTTCATCCTTTATCAGCAGTAGTACATGCTATTTGAAATACGATTCAGGTGGTTTTCTGAAGCTGTCGGAGCTTCTCTACAGTTCAACATGAATTGTAGCATCGCATCAAGACTTAATTTCATTGATTATCTTGATCATGTTGTCAGGCTGAAGAAGCCCACCCAGAAGAAGAAGTACGGTCTGCTGTCGAACTACGACGACTCTGTGGAAATGGAGGTGGTGGAGAGCGACGAGGATGACACACTGTACGAAGCTCGCAGCCTCCGCAGGTCAGAGGTCAACACACAGCAACAACAACAAAACCAAATACTGTGTTACACAATGGTTTGTCTTCAGGCTGAGTAATATTTTATCACTGTCAGGGTTTCATTCGACATTTTTCTGTGAATGACACTGAAATGCTTGAATAGTATTGGGGCATAGTTTTACAGAGATGGGTCAAAGGTGGTGTCAGTGAAAACGGGCTCTGCTGTGTTCTGGGGAGAAACTCTGTTTAAGCAAGAGACGTTGCTGCTGAGTTAAGTTGCATATCTTAAAGCTATGAGCAGCACAAACTTCATTTCATTCACCTCCACTGTGGCTGAGGCAAAGGTCTGGGACCCATACGCATAAAACCAAAGTTTACTTACTCCTACAGAAGTCATTCCCAGTCTGGATGAGAAAAGAGAGAAACCAGAAGCCATGAGATGATGAAGGAAACAGGATGGCAGAAAGACCTTTAAAATGAAAAGAAAGAAATCCGAGTGCGTCTGCGTCACACGCTGCTATGACCTGACCTACTTAGAATAATAAACCTGTGGGGATTACCCCGTCTGCACCTTTTCCAGTCCCTCATGGAATCTCAGAAAGTTTAGTTTTTAGTGTCCACAAATGACTGAATTGTTACAGTACAGAGCTGAGAACAGCTGTTGTTGGACCAGAAGCAGAAATCCTGCCTGGTGCTTTGAACACAAACCGATCATTTCCCAAAAGCTGCCTGGAGGAAGGGAACTCAATTTCCAAAGTGAATGATGATCTGTTAATGATCTGCAGGGACATGAGGTCAGAGTAGAATTTGCTCAGATCTCAGAACTTTGGTGACATGTTGTAACTGATCAAACTATAGATCTGCTGATTAATCTGTGTGTCTCTGTTCAGATGAGCCCTGTTGGAGTGTCTGTGTCTGCTGATGGATCGTTGGAGCGGTGTTTTCTGGAGGATATGGATAAGGAGCCTGTCAGGTGGTATTGATTAGTGGACATAAACATAGGACCAAACAGTTATTGAGGCTCAATGCCAAAGCTGCATGCTGCTCCAGAAGCCGAGCAGGATGATAAGTATTTTTTTATTGTGGGATGGATGATCGCTGTTGTAAAGTTTGTGTTTTCATGGAGGAGCAGGACGTTCTCTGTGGATCATCATCAGGCCAAACGCTCCTCTGCCCTTTATCGATATTATTTCAAAGCTTTTCCATTGTCTTGTTTTTTCATTCTGAGCTTCTCTGCTCCAACTGTGTGCTTCAGCAGCTGGGAACGCTGCGTGCTCACTGACCAGGATGTTTCCTCCCAACAGACTCTGACCCGACATGACCACAACTTCAGCTTCATTTCTGGCATCTTTGAGCTAAAATGTTAAAGGATAATTCTGCTTTATTTTA